GGTAGAGGTCAGCGCGTCGCGCCACAAACCCTGGGCAACCCGAGTTTAGTTCCAACTCATGGCCAACGCCGGTGACGATTATTTTCACCGGTCCTGGGCCTCCTCTCCTAGGTCGACTCAGCCTCAAATGAGTACCTGGTAGGGTGGTGTAAACATTGTTACTGGGGAGACAAAGGCGGTCAGGCATGGTGCTGGCCACCGACCCCTTCGTCTGTTGTGCCGGCCTTCATAGGTGCTACTCGCTAACAGCACTTTCTCCAACAGTCTGTTAAGGCTATACAGGGGATCTTTGTCTTTGGTGGCAGTATGTGTGGGGGGGGGGGGGGGGGTAAAGGGGCAGCTGCCCCCGTCTCCCCGCCACCACTGCCTTGGATTTGCTTAGACGGCCGTTTTATGTCATACACCATATTTTTATATATGGCAAGAATGTGAAATAGTAAATATGTTTTCTCTTTGCCGACATATATTCGGGGTGAATTCGTAAAGAGTTCGCGTTGATGGCACAGGATCCCGATGAGCAGAGGCGTTGAGCTTCCCCACGAGTCGGCAACACGAGACGGACCGAGGATTTATATTTATCTATTTTCTATTTAGGCACATTAAATATTTATATAATGAAAGCGTTACTTATACGCAACACATTTTGAAGCCCGAATTGATTCACCCCTCCCCAAGGTGTATCTGGGTGCAGTGCTATCAAACATACGGATTAGGACAAACCTTGTCACACGATTTTTTATTTGCCAAAATTTTTTTTTTCCCCTCCGATTTTTTAAAATCTTTATCTGGGAATCACCCGACTCGCAGATAACCACTCTTTTTATAAAGTCACGTAGAATGGAAATAAAATAATAAAAATAAAACATATTAAAAACATTCTCACGACGTTTCGGCCACAACACAAGTAGCCTTCCTCAGGTGAAGACACAGAACTCGGGAAGACAGCGCTTCAGTGAACACTGCCAAGCTTGGCAGCGTCTTTTAAGCTGGGTGGGAGGAACAGAGCACCTTGACGAAGGAGTTTACATATCAGCAGAAGACTTTAGCATTGAAGTAGCTGTGTTAATGTGTTGGATTAGCAGGATGTTAAAGTCAGAAACTAGCATGTAACTGGGAGATTAGCATAATGTTAGTGTGAGGGATTAGCATGTAATTATGTCGGAAAAAGTGGCGGTTTCTTTTTTTCTTTTCAACGTTAGCACCACGGAAAGCGACGAGCTTTGTTCAGACGGACGAGTCCATCTATGCTCGGAACGGAGGAGGGGGGAGAAACAGCCACGATGCGCTGCTCTGTCCTGTGTTGCGTTACAACAATGCTATAAACTAGACTACTATTTACACAACAATATTATACCTTCCAATCTAAACTACATTGTATAATATCGTATACACAGCCCAATTTAAGCTCTAACATTATGCATTATATTGACATGCCTCCAACTAAACTTTTTTCTAAATTACACGACTATACACCGTAATATACACTGCCATAGACAAACCCCACCCTTGAATTATACAATGCGTTACTATACACTATCCTATACTTTAGACTATAAAATATTAGACTTGGAATATTACACTATGTATTATTCTACCAACCCTACTGTATACCACACTGCTCTATATTCACTATACAATTACGATACCATATATTGCCCTATGAATTATGTTAAACATTACACTGTTATACTATTTATTATACAACATGCTATAAACCATACCATTGACCGTCGTGTGAAAGGTACTAAGAGGCAGTGCCAGCGAATGGACTGCGGTCTGAAAGTCACCGTAAAATACAATCAATCAAGAAGCGAAATAGTTTATAATGTCTTTCCAATGGTTACTAAGCCAAAATCCATCTTCTCGGTTGAAATTCTCTCTGTGTTTGTATATGTGGATGGCCTCATGAACGAATCTCTCATGGTAGCCAGATGGCTTGCAGAGAACCTCCGTCTTGGAGAAGTCAATGTCACACAGCGTTGGTGTACGGTGCTATTTCAGGTATATTTTGATGTTTTTTTTCCTGGATTTTATGTTTGCACACGCACAAAGTCACTTTAAGATGTTTTTCTTGTTCATGTTTTTGTTTTTTTTGTTTGTTGCGGTTGCACCCGATTCAAGAGCCGAATGGCTCACAGGGCTATACCAAATAAATGAAACTATGTGAGCCCACTGAATTATAACAGTGATCTGACTTTACAGAAAGAACCAAGAAGATGAATCCCTGCAGTCACGAAAGCTTTAAATCGAAATTCACTCTTTTTATACTTTCACCCCCTCTGCAGTCTCGGCAAAGTTTCCCTGCCACAGGGCAGACCTAAAAATGAAAACTAACTTCTCTGCGTACAGATGGTGACTGCTCTGACATCGGCTTGCTGTGCCAGAAGCGCACGACTCGCTCGTTCGCTCGCTCGCTCTCACATCCCCCGGGCGGCTTCTTGTCGTGACAAAGCAACCCGGTGATCGTATTCCATCTGTGTCATTTCATTAATTTACCCGCATATTTAACACGGAGATGAGCGACGGGAATTGTTCGCGGACGCTCGAGTTGGGTTGGACACCTCGAGGGAATCGGGAGGAGGAAGCGATTGGGATGTGGGCTCAGAACAGAGGGAAGCACCAAAGAATCCGAATCTTTATCTAGACTGAAGGATTTATTTCTACTCAGTGCTATCAGGGTCAGTAACCTCCCGCATAAGTACACACGGAACCCTGTTAAGCTCCGTGGTATATTCTAATCTTTTAATTTGTTTCATATTTGTTATCCTAGTTTTATGGAAGCAGCATATATGTTGCATTTATCAGCAAAGTAAGGAATACACGTTATACATGTGTATTAAAAATGTTTAACTGCATTTCGCAGTCGCCTTAAACAATATATCACGTCAATCCAGATATAAATGTATGTTTTATTAGTAATTTAGCCTGCTGCAGATATATAATTGGTATTTTGTTATTGCGTTAAAAACAATCTTGTGATCTCCACACCGACCTATATAAACTGAAAATGCCCATATGTGTGTGGGTGTCGCACTTTCCCTAAAAGTCTGTTGAGGGTATATGTGGGATATTTGTCTTTGTGTTGGTTAGGGGAAGGGATGGTGGATGTTTAATAGTGACAGAGTGGTTCGCATATCATTACATGACCCATGCAAATCTCCCACTCGCCCCACCCTCCATTCTCTATCATACAAAATATATCAGCGGCCAGTGTAATTTGAATCTGTCCTGGGCCTCCCCAAAGTTAACTCAGCCTAAAATAGCACTTGGTGCAATGTGTAACCATCGGGAAAGTGGCTGGGCGTGGTGGTGCCCACACCAACCCGTCATGTGTGCTCGCAAATAGCACTTGCCCCAACAGTCTCCTGGGGCTATATGGGGGATCTTTGTCTTTTTGTGTGTGCGTGTATCTATGTGTCTGGGGAGCGGTGGCGTCGTAGTTAGCACGCTGTGCTATGAACCCGTGCGACCCGAGTTTGATTCTCGCTTACGGCCAATGCCGGTGACGATTATTTGTACCGGTCCTGGGCCTCCCCGAGATTGAAATGGGTACCCGGTGCGGTGTGTAGTAAACATCACCACTGGGAAGACAAAGGCGGTCGGGCGTGGTGCTGGCCACCCACCCCCTCATGTGCCTTGTGGGCCTTCATCGTTGCTCGCTAACAGCACTTGCCCCAACATTCAGTTAAGGTTATACGGGGGGATATTTGTCTTTGCATTTGACTCGGCTGAGAAGATAACGCCGTATCTGCTGGCGCTGGCCCAAAGGCCCCAGAGATGTTTCTCTCTTTCTCTATTCTTTTAAAAATAGCCTGGCCGCCACCACTGCAATGCATTATCTTGTTGCCAGTATGGTTCGTACCATCGCGATGTCACGCCATTACATACAGGATGTATACGTAATGGTTGTATATATGAACACATTATCCGATAAAAGGCGGCATATTTTCTCTGATAGAATTGGACGCCGCGTGGAGGAATCGATAGTGGATTATACGCGCGCCCCCTCTCCATCTCTCTTTGTCCTCCCCTCCCCCCCCCCCCATTTTTTTGCCGCGTTCCGCACGCGCGTACAAACGACCTGCCACCTCCATACCTCACCTGAACGCCACCGAAAACGCATTCCCATTAACTCGCAATTTCTCATTCTTCCCTGCCTCTATGGCCAACTCTCTTGCTCTGTCCCTCCCTCCTGCATCTGCACGTCCTCTTCCAACCCGGCGGTGATTTCCGCAACTCTGCAGCTGCGTCTCGCCTTTGTCCCTCACTCCGCCCTCTGCAACCTCTGTGGCCACCCACTCTCCAATAACGATGGTAATAATGCCCTTTATGTAGCTAAGGAAGACTTGCTGAGCCTCACGACTTTTTTGGTGAAGAGGGCACCGCGTTTTTTTGCTGTTGAGCCAGTTCCATGAACGACAATGTTTCGCGCGCGGCGGGGAGGATGGCGGTGTGCCTGACGAAAACCCCACATCAAGCAAAGGGGGGTGACACTCGAAGCTACGCACAGAGAGATTCAGTACACAGCTGTCCTGCCATCTTCCCATCACCTTGCAGTCCGGGGCCTACAAGCATCGATTGGTATTCCTCGGCGTCCTCTTCCCTCTAACCTCTGACAAGCCTGCAGCGTGACCTCTGAGTTAATGGAAGGGTCATACGAGAACTGAGGGCGAGCCACAGCACCACAGCCAACGTTAAACAAAACCTTCGCCGCTGAGCAGAGCGATACGATCTGCTCGTGTTTATCGCGTATTCTGCTCAAGCCCTCGCCCCCTGTGTATACAAGAAAAGGCTGTGGCACTCACCTCTTAATTATGCTCACTTTTGTACCGACGCTTTTTTTGTCACTTGGCTGTAAGACTTTAGAAGGGCTGCAAGGGCGAGGGGCGTTTGGAGGGTGGCGGGGTGTGGGGGGGGTTAGGCTGAGACTCGGGCAGCCTCTCCCTCGTCCGCCGGCGCTAAGGGGCTAACCTCTAGCCCTCTGCCCTGCTGCGCTGCAGGAAGGCCGTGAAGGCCACGCTGGTGCTGCTGCCGCTGCTCGGCATCACCTACATGCTGTTCTTCGTGAACCCAGGCGAGGACGAGATTTCGCAGGTCATCTTCCTCTACGTCAACTCCTTCCTCATGTCCTTCCAGGTCGGTGTGCGTTCCTGTGTGCCCCGCGGCGCCCGTGCCACTTGAGGCAATTGCAGTCAGCTCGGTGGTTCTGTTGGGGGGTCATGAATTAATATTCTGGCCACGGGTTGACTATGGCAATTATCTCTTCAGGGTCGATAAAATATGCCACTTTGTGGGAAGTCCTGTGCATAAACTGGGAGTAAGAAGAGCATATGAGTGAAGGTTGGTATTTCTCTAAGACTCCACATTACACAGATCCACACTTGTCCATTCTATAGACAGCGGCGTGATCAAATCCAGTGGTCAACGTTTTAACCAGGTCACAGAAAGTGAAAGGAAGATTGGAAAATGCTCGATTCCAGTACTCTTCTGCCACTGCGGTGAGAAGTCAGGTTTTTTTTGTTGTTGTTGTGAGAAGCAACAACAATAGTAAAAATGTATTTATTATTGTGCTTGGCTGCGTGCATTATTTATACATTGGGGTAGCTGGGTGGTCTGCTGGCAATACCGATCGCTCCCACCACAGCCACTGTGCACAGGTTCAGTGGCTCAAATTGGCTCGCCTGTCTGCATTGCCCAGCCATCGGCGGTCTCACACCGAGTCAATTTGCATAGAGTGGGTGGAATAGTTGAGACAGCCAGACCGTGATTTCTGCAGGGAATTTCCAAAGTGGGCTCTGTTATGAAGTGACCATTAAAGACGCTGTTGTATGATGAACAACAAAGTTTCTGCTTCGCCACTAAAAATATTAAAAGCGAAGTAACATTTTAGTCTATCAATCTATGCGGGAAAGAAGCTGCCCTACCCAATAGAAAACCCGCACACACAACCAAGACAACACTCAGAGCTCCACACATATACACTCAGGAATCTACAGTTGCACTGCCATCTCTTGTCCACATCGTAGCCCAAACCTACAAAAACGCAACATTTTCTAGGCAGTCTTCCCATCCACTTATTAGCCAGGCTCAACCCCTCTCAGCTTCCGAGATGCGACGAGATCGGGCGCATCCAGGTGGTTTTGGATTGCGGTGGTGCAGTGGTTTCCCCTCGTGGGGCGGCTGAGCGGACGCGGCGCTGCGACTCGACGTCCGTCTCATGCGCTTGCTGTTGTCTGTCCCCAGGGCTTCTTCGTGTCGGTGTTCTACTGCTTCTTGAACGGCGAGGTGCGCTCTGCAATCCGCAAGCGGTGGCACCGCTGGCTGGACAACCACGCGATCCGGGCGCGGGTGACGAGGGCCATGTCCATCCCCACGTCGCCCACCCGTATCAGCTTCCACAGTTTCAAGCGCACCACCTCCGTGTGAGAGAAACGCAGCCAACATATGCCCTGGCCCCTTCCCATTCATCTCCCCACCTCTGCCAAAACACTTCATATTGTATTTTTTTTTTACCACCACCAAAATGTAATGACTGTAAATTAGCCACTTGAGCAGCCGGATGGACACGCGCGTGTAGCCTTGTGCACGCCCGGACACACGAGCGTGTACCCTTGTCCGCGCCCGGGCGGACAAGCATCATTGTACCATCGAAACATATAACAACACACCCACCCCTGATACGGTACACAACAATACCAAGACAGGGAATGCCCTATCTGGTCGTTTTGAATGCCTGGTCAGTGGCTAGTTATATATAAAGACAAAGATCCCGCATATAGTCAATAATAGACTGTTAGGGCAAGTGCTGTTAGTGAGCATCTATGAAGGGTGGCACGGCACACGAGGGGGTGGGCGGCCAGCACCGTGCCCGACCGCCTTTGTCTCCCCAGTGGCGATGTTTATACACCGCACCAGGTACTCATCTGAGATTGAGTCGAATCAGGGGAGGCATGGACCAGTTCAGATAATCGCAATCACCGGTGTTCGCCGTGAGCGGGAACCGAACTCAGGTCACTGGGTTCGTGACGCCGTAACGCGCCAACCACTAGAACTCCCGCACACAATCACAAAACAGTTGCACAAATTTGAGTAATCTTACGGGGGCGCAAGCTCGCCGCACGCACACGCAAGGTTGACACCCACCTCGCGCACTCGGTAGGCACGCACGCCAAACGCACACACTACCGCTGCGGTGCCGCCTCGCCGCATTTGGTGGAGGATTGAGGATGGAGGCTGGAGGAGCGCCGGCGATGGGGAGAATAATTGTTTCCCCGTGGAGTGTACGGTCCACTCAAGACGCCGGGGGGGGGGGGGGGAGGGGGGGGGGGTGATTTGGAAGGGCGCGGATCGTCGAGCCCCGTTGGTTTACTTGAAAAAAGAGAAGAGAGAGGCGCACGGACCCAAGCTCCACACGGCGTTCGGAGCAGGAGGCACGAGGAATCCGCGAGGGTGAGAGGAGGAGGAGGAAGAAATGGAGGTGTTCAAACAAAGTTGACTCTTTGAGTAGCTGGCCGTGTTTCAAGCCGCTTGATTTTTTTTCACGTGGAAAACAAAACAAGAAAAGAGAGCTGAGACAAGAGGCCTGGAGGTCTCGTGACGAAGGTGTTGACATGTTTTCGGTTAGTACTTTTTTAAACGCAATATTGTTTTGATTTCCTTGGTTGTTATTTGTAACTTATCTATACATAAATAATTCCATGGGAAGAGGAAAAAAAGACACACACACACACGCCGTGAGTCAACCCACGTTCCTTTTCTTTCCACGGCAGCGCACGTATTGATAGAGCGTACAAAAACGGCGTACACAAGGTCCAGATAGTATTGCCACAATTTGTGTAACTATTGTAACTGTAACAGCTTATTTATTATTCAACTCGAGCTTAAGATGATTTATATTGTTAGGTGGCTATACAAGAGATGTACAGTCATGTTCATTGTATAGTGTTGTAATGTCTTGTACATGTACCATTATTATGATATGAATAAAAAAAAACATGGGAGCTTTGATATTGTTGGCGTTGGCTGCAACCCAACGAGCGGAGCATTGGTTTAAAGAGGCTCATCCACGGTGTGGTGAAGGTGAACGTTGTGCATTCAGGTACCCGCTTCAGTGGTAAGTAAAACAAATATATAAACCCGCATTCGAGTGACCATCTTAACACGTTGACTTTCACCCACCAATCGTAAACTGTCCAACGCATAGACACGCATGCCAATGTAAGGCAAACCATGTCGGGAGCGGGGGAGGGGGGGGGGCTTTACTGAGGTCGTTCATGACGAGAAAAGCAAAACCTGTAGTTGATATTCCGCAGTATATTATTGTAAGTTGTTTAGAGTGTATTAAATAGGCGCAAGGAGTAACGTTGTCTCAGTGTCATTGGCTCTGTGTCGTGATGTGCCCACATCAATGTTATCTTTTTACGAATAAAGGTTCGTTTACATGACAGAAATGTAGTTTGAGCAATGCGCGTGACAGTCAAAGCCAACGCGGGAATAATAAAAATAAATGTTTATTTTACGTCTCAAACATTCGTGCAAATATTCTCACCTTCGCCAACGAGCGGCAGACTGCTGTCACTGTCCTCCACGCTGATTCTCATGCACGCCCACTCGCCACCTCCACCCTCGCTATTGGCAGACGGAGCACGCGCTTTTGTTTTTTTTGGCGTTAAATCTAAATGTCACCGAATGATATGAATAATAAAATCATCCACACCGGGTTCGGGGGAGAGCGAGAGAGAGAGGGGAGGAGGGGTAAAGTTGCCATTTAATTGCAATTCTGAGTCGGCGTTGAAGTGAATCTCGTTACGGTGTAAGCCAGTTTTTCTGGCTTGTTAACACCATTGAATGTTGTTAGCAAGCAATATTGCTCCATTTTAACACATTGTGGTTACTGAGCAAAGAGACTACGATTTGCTGTTATGTCTGAAACTAGATAACTTGCACCAGTTAAGAACAAGTGCGTGTTAGGAGTTACACGATCGAAAAGCAAGTAGGTATGGCTAATGTGCACATACTCAATAGACCATCGTGAAACACATGTTACCCATGTATATCACAAATGGTACATTATTATTCTGTAGATAAATAGTAATCTCATAAAATTATTGTATTATAATGCATGGATGGGCTGTAGGTACTTTTTAGAACGTGTGAACTATTCATTGATTCAACAAGTAAAAGCGATTGTTTTGCTCATCCATAAGAATGAATAATTTACATTGTAAGCAAATGATATGCAATTTATACATTTAAGCAAATGTAGTGAGACTGAAAACACGATGGAATGTGTTAGAATTAAATAGTAAAAAAAGTGTATGGTTCATTATTGATTTGTGGGTTAGGCCACATCACGCTTGCACACGTGATCACCCATTCGTTGGGCTCCTGTCAGGTGGTGGAGGGTCTCGATGACATAACTGTGGTCAGATCATTACGTGACCTAACCAAAGAAAAGGAATGGTGATTCACAATGTTGGTTGTGGAAATCGATCGAAGAGACAGGTGCTACGTCGTGAGAATATTATTGTGTTATTTTATTTTATCAATTTATTATTTTATTCTCATTCTACGTGACTTTACCGAAAGAACCAAAGAAGGTGCTACGTGTTAAGTTAATGAATATGTAACTGGATTGTATGACACCCTGTAGCCACTGGAGTTGCTGCAATGCACCAGTGTTGAAGAGAATATATTTTTGAATCGGATAGCCACCTGTGGCAAATTCAGCGAATCGATAAGGGGGTGAATGGTTATCGTTATTTAATTTTTATATCTGATACTTTACAGAAATGTCAGTTTTTTTTAATATCACCACTTGCAGAACGTCTCAGTCATGTTTTTACAGTCAAGGAATGAGGCGTAATAATATTCATGTGATGGGCAATTCTCCTCACATTAGGAAACCACCCTGGCAAATTCACCACAGAACTACATACAGCATCGTGTTGCAAACGACAACAACTCACACCATGGCCACTGTGTAAAGGTAGCTTTCATCATCTGTGGTGCAAAAAACAAACTAATAAATGCAAGATTATCTCTCAGAGCCTGGCCAAAGCCAAATGTATTTAACCATCTAGTTGATATGTTGCGCCTGTTATTATGATTGGGCTGATGTCACAAATCTTGTTAAAATCGAAAATACCTGTCTTGAGTGCGAGGCTGGGATCCGTACCCGCGAATCTCATTGTTGCTCACCCCAAGCTGACACTGCTCAGCCTCGAGCCATTCCACGTCAAAATGCTTTAGCTTCAACCGAGATAGAGTGATCTGGGCCGATTGCCTGTAATGCCGGGTGGCACAACCACAACTGGCACCTGTCTCCAAGGCCATCTCCCCACGGAGATTTCACACGAGGCCTCATTACCCCGGGCTTTCTCACGCTCGTATGTCTCCTGTAATTGCGTGCGCGCCGTGCCTTTGCCAGAGTCCGCTACCACTTCGTTATCTGCCTAAGCAGCTGGAATCCGACAACCCCGACCCTCCCGGAGCGTCGGGCGAGCTCCGTGCTGTGGCCCAGGGATAGGGGTTGCCACCAGAAAAAAATATATATCTTCGTTGCCACTGGGGAACTAAAGCAGGGCGCGTGGGTGTATGAAGGCATCGATTTCAATTGCGCACACCGACAATCCCATCGTGTCTCTTGTGGCGGAACTGTGTGTATCATTTCACACGTGTCATACGTTGTGCACATATATAGAATACACAGTAAATTGGACGTGGAAGGTCCTTTAAATCTTCAGGTTTGAGTATTATGTGCAGAACTGACATTTTTTTAAACATGTGCAGTAGTGTATGTGTGTCGGTAGGCTTCCGTGGATCTTCATGTATCACAACTGTGCCCTTCGCACGTATCGCAGTTAACGCTGTGCTGCTTCGCATATGCATCACAGTAGAACTCTGCCGCCGTATGAATGGACAACGAAACCGTGCGATTCTGTGGTCCTGTCCGGAGTGCTGAGGCTTGCAGGGCAGGCGGTGTGGGCTGATGAGCAGGAGATTGACGGTTGGCGTTATCACGCAATATTTACAGTTAAGGACACCGGGCGAAGGGCGGACGAGTCGGCTCACCATGCGTGGCGAGACGGGCAGAGGCAGGGGAGCAGCGAGATTGACAAGAAATACAAAGGGCATGCGGGAGAGAGAGAGAGCGTGAGAGAAACAAGAGTTATAGTTATGTAAAGTATGTATAATTCAGCAATCAAGATGGGGAGGCCATAAACACACGACCAATTCAGGGAGTTCATATCATTATCAGTAGCTCTGCTATAGATGATGGGAAGTCCATAGAAAGTTGAGCATGATAGTCTTATTCAAAACAACAATGCTGAAGGCAAGTTCCATCTACCTTTGTTTCTGAAATCAGCATACTTTCAACGCACTCAGAGCGGTACATAAATGAACATTGAATTTCACTTCACGGCAACGATTAACATTGTAACATTAAACACACATCCCGGTGAAGTGTCAAATCAGCCTATCATCTTCCTGAGACCATTGAAATGACAAGGACGTGCTGTGGTTGCCCGTTCAAAAAAATCTGACCTCTGTCATCGAAATGTGGAATTTATACCACTGCTTCGGGCCTGCCAATGAACGCGAGAGACACTGTGACTTAAGAAGAACATATTTTAGCATCCTACCTAACTTCTGTGTAATTCATTTGAATTTAAATGTACTGATATTGAGTGACTGCTGGCATAAGCATGCACATCGACTGCTAGATGAGAGCCTCTCCACACCGTGGTGGTTGTGGAATATTAGAGCTATTTGACCATACTTCACCACACTGTTTCAGCGAGGAAAGCACAACATAACAATTCAAATATCTGCACCGCTCTTCTACTGCCCACAATGGCTACAACGCCCGTTGTTGTGCTTGGCGGACACCGCCTCCTCGAAGCGCTGTGCAGGTTCGAACCTGCTTAGCTTCTGATGTCTGACAATCTCGGGGCGCAGTCTGCGTGATTTGGTCAGTCTGGCACGAAACGCCTTTCAACAGGATCGATCAGGAACTCCCCATCGCAGGCTTGTGTGGAGCAATGTGCGAGACCATCGATTGCCTGGTGAGAGCATTTGCCGTGGTCTATAATTGTCCAATGGTCAGCCATCGAACAAAGACGGTCACTGCGCTTTCAGATGCGATTCTGTGGCCGTCTGGAACGCTCTTCCTTCCGATATCACGAAGCCACTGGAGCTATGCACTTTTAAGTGTACATTGAAACACACATTTCTTTAGAACTGCTTGTTGTGTTTAGTTTGTTGTCCTTTATCAGCACCTCAGGTTAGCAAGGTTGGCTACGTATGGTGCGAAAGAAGTTAAACATACATACAATGGGCCCCACTGTAAAACCTTTCAGAAGTGTTTCCTTCGAAACGTTTCTACGATGTTAAGTAAATTCGACGGTCAACAAATACGGCTGTGACGCGGTTCCTCTCCAGCGGCAGCCCTGATTAATACTGCGGGTGTGCTAACCGTTAAAATTCGTTTCCTTCACAGTGGATGTTAAAGATCCCGTGATGTCATTCGCAAGAGTAGGCCATCGTGTGCCGGCATCGCGGTCCAAATGCGGAAAAGTGAAAAGAAATGCTGAAAAATTACTCAATTGGAATGTACATGCCAATCATTGCCCCTTGCTGAAAAAGAGGCAAGAGACGTGGTAATATTTTTCTGGGGAGAAAAAAAGGTAAAATATAACAACCTTTCACTTTTTTAAAGGTTGTTAGAATCTTGTCTGTGTCAAAACAGTGTGGTGTTATTTTAGGGTATTTCACTAATATTGCTAATGGTAACATGGTTAAGTTGATGGTAGACAAACTAACACTTTCTGACACCTACTCGTTTTCTAAATATCGTCATGACCTTGTTACACGTAACTTTCTCACTCTATAATCTGCAGGTAAGTAGGTGGTTATATTTCATGTCCAAACAAAATCACCCTTGTTATGCCTTCGCAATGACAATGACTGATGTTTAAATAGGATTAGTTTTTTTTTTAACCCGAGCTCTCAAGACAATGTTCATTTATCCGCCACATAACTGATTGCGTGTTGTAGGCATGGTTTCCAACGGGGAAGCTTCTCCATAATCTCCGCTTGGAAACCGTCCAGTTTCAATGTTCGGCGATACTTTCCTCCCTCAATTTCTCTCCAGCTCCTCGAGCCTGACCTCCCTCCCACAAGCACCCGCGCAGTCGTCCACAAACACACCTCTCGCTGCCTGCAGGTGTCTGTTGTGTGCGTGGAGCGAAACGTCTGACATCGTGCCAGACAACACACGTGGTACAACTCGAAAGCACGTGGCAAAGTTCCACAGCACAACTGTAAAAACCTACGGAGTGGTCGTAGTAGTCATCCTCTCCATTGTCCACCAACTACGTAACACGATCACCTGTTTTTCCTGATGCATGCACCTTTCGATGAAAGTCATTGTGGGCTCTAAGCCAGGACTATATCAATAATAATAATACTTTCTTGACTTAAAGCTTTCGTGACTGCAGGAATTCATATTCTTTGGGTCTTTCG